TCTCCATGTGTGAGGGTCTCTCACATTGAGTGCAGCCACTGGATGGCTTCAATGGTTAAGCATTTGATTATTAGCCGAAAGATCGGGCATTCAGATCGAACCCATTCAGGGATGCCTTGGAAGAGCTAGCCTGGCCATCCACTTCCAAAGAGTCAAAGCTTTGAAAACCCTATGGAGTATTTCTATGCTCCCCACACGGGGGCGCCGTGAGTCAGAATCGACTCATCGGCAACGGACTGACAACATCAACAGTTCTGAGCAGAACAGAAAGGGAGCCTGTCCTGGTGGATCTTCAGCTCTCTTGGCAAAGACGGTGTGAAGCAGCCAGATTGCCCCATGTTGAGGAATGCACAAGGCTGTTCAGATGGAATTTTTGGAGGAAGGAATGAGATCTAATGAAAGGCCTAAAGAATGAATAGACGTTAGCCAGGCAAGAGAAAGGGGAAGGTGGGGCCATGGGTTCAAAGTAAGGGAGAATTGCTACAAATGTTTTTACAAAGTGTTTGTTCTTAGCACAGTGTGAAAAAACATTAAATAAAGGGCAACCATGATTTGTAGGGAGTCCTGGTGTGGCGCTGCGGGCTAATGCGTCAGACTGCAAAGTCGTTGAATTGCAAGGTCGGTGGTTCCAGCTCACCAGCTGCTCCTTGGAAACCCTATACAGGGTTGCTATGGGTCGGAATTGACTCGATGGCACTTGACAACAACAACAACAGTGATTTGTATTGTTGTTGTTCTGGAATCTTACATAGCTGCTCTCCCTGCAAAACCCCTACTTTTGACTTTTTTTTTAAATGACATCAGTTTATTCTTTTCTGCTGTTTGTTTGCAGAACATGGTAGATCGAGTCACTCTGTTGTCTGCACCAAGCTCGGTGCTGGTAGATTCGCTGCATCAGTTGTCAAGGACTTGATTCCGACCCCTGGCTAACCTCATCTGGGTCAGAGTCTCAGAGTAGAACTGCACTCCATAGGGTGGTCCTGAACCTCCAGCCTTTTGGTTAGCAGTTGAGTGCTAACTGATTGCACCACTTGGGTTGCTAATGTGACAGGGCCAGTATTTTAAACCGTTTCCCCGAAGCAGGCTCAGAGCTGAGATTTTGAGTGCAAGGGTTTTCATTCCCAGGTACCTACAGAATGTACTGGTATTTGGGAATAGGTCAGGGAGAACCAGAGAAGAAAGTTAACACATGGTATTTTTGCTAGTATACAGAGTCCCTGGTGTGGAGCTATAGAATAAAGTACCGAATCCCCAAGTCTATTTCAAACAATCACAAAGCCAACAGTTCAAGTTTACCAGCTATTCCTTGGAAACCGCATACAGGGTCACTGTGAGTCAGAACTAACTACGTGGCACTTAATAACAACAACAACTGGCTGGAAAAAAACACTGCCCTCATTGCTGAAAGAGGACCTCGAAGCCATTTTCTTAAGTACATGGGAAGCCATATGCTTTCTTAGTTGGAGGGATATTAAGAAGGTGATCCGAGGATCTTTTCATAACTAATTTAGGTGCCATGGAAACGGACTAGGAGCCCAGGTGGCACAATGAGTCAAGCATTGGCTGCTAATGGAAAGATCAACAGTTCAAACTCAACAGCCACCCTGAAGGAGGAAGATGAGGCTGCCTGCTTCTGGAAAGATTTACAGTTACTGGAACTCTGTGAAGTAGTGATAGATACCCTGCCCTGTAGGGTTGTGGTGAGTTGTAATGGATTTTAAGACAGTGAGTTTGGGTTTAGGATGTCCAGGAGCAATAGAGGTGATCCCAGAGATGTAAGTCACTTCAGTTGTATAAACAGGTTACACCAGTGGTCCCAGAAAGATGTTCAGCACGGTCAATTCAATCCCAGTTAGAAAAGGTTCAGGATCAAAAGAAAATCCCCCTTGAAGTATTTGTTATCCTGACTTTGTATCCAACATCCTTCTGCTTTCCTATATTTTTCTACTAACAGCATGTATCCCACTGCAACAGGGCATGCTGAAAAGTGGTGTTTTGTTAGTTGTTGTTGTTGTTAAATGCTGTTGAGTCAGTTCTGACCCATAGCAACCCTCTGTAGGGTTTCTGAGGAGCTTCTGGTGAGCTTGAATCACCGACCCTTGCAGTTCAAACTGCTTTGAAGTCTGGCGCATTAACCCACAGTGCCACACGTTTTGTTAGTTAGGTGCCTTCTAATAGGTTCTGACTCTTAGCAACCCTATGCACGACAGAATGAAACAATGCCTGCCCTGTGCCACCCTTACAAGTTTTACACGGGAGCCCATTGCTGCTGCCGCTATGCCAGTCCATCTTGTCGAGGATCTTCCTCTTTTTTGCTGATCCTACACTGTCCAAGGTTCATGTCCTTCTCCAGGTACTGGTCCTTCTGACAATGTGTCTAAAATATGAGAGTCGGAATCTTGACCACCTCATTTCTAAGAAACACTTTGACTGTACTTCTAACAAGACAGATTTGTTTGTTTTCTGGCAGTCCATAGTACTTTCAATATTCTTCTCCAAAACCATATCTCAAATGTATCGGTTCTTCTAAGAGTTATATAGCAAGCTCAAAGGTGTCAGAAAAGGGTGATTTTTGCCATTCTGAGTGAAGACTACAAGAAGAAGATATGCTGCAAAGTGTTTCTGGTTCATGGTATGGCTTCAGGCTCCCGCGTGGTTAGAGCCACTCACACTGTAGTGGGCAAGGTTCTGAATGAAGTGTGGCCAGAAACATGGTCTGGAGAAATGAAGAACTTTCTTTCCTTTTTTCCTGTGCTCCAGCAGCTGACTGTCACTTCTCTGATTGAGGTGTGGCTAATCAATTCCATCCAGGTGATAAGAGAGTCCAAGGGCAGGACACCCAGAGGCCCTCCTGTTTCAGAGCTTCATTCTTAGAGGGATGTGACTGAAACTCGCTGCTGCCTCCTGGTGGCAGCCTACTCACACAGAAGAGCCAGCTCGCTTGCGAAGACTCAGAACAAATTTCTGTGACTGCTGCCAGTTGCTAGGACTTTTGGGGAGTCCTGGTGTGGCACTGAAGGATAATCTCTGGACTGCTAGCTGCAAGATCAGTGGTTCAAACTCACCAGCCACTCCTTGTTGATGTTGTTGTTGTCAGGTGCCATCGAGTCGGAACCGACTCATAGCAACCCCATGCACAGCAGAACGAAACAATGTCCGATCCTGGGCCAACCTCACTACCGCTGTCAAACTTGATACCATCAGTGATGCCACCTGGCTGATCCATCTCGTTGGGGATCTTCCTCTTTTTCTCTGACCCTCCATCTTATCCAGCATGACATCCTTCTCCAATGACTGTTCTCTCCTGACAATATGTCCAAAGTATAAGAGATGAAGCTTAGCCATCCTGGCTTCCAAGGAGCACTCTGGCTGCACTTCTTCCAAAACAAATCTATTGGTTGTTTTGGCAGTCCATGGCACTTTCAGTATTCTCCTCCAACACCACAACTCAAAGGCATCAATTCTTTTACGATCTTCCTTATTCACTGTCCAGCTTTCACATCCATATGAGGTTATTGAAAATACCAGACCTGGACCAAGAAGCAGTTGTTCGAACAGAACATGGGAACACTGAATGTTTTAAAATTGGGAAAGGTGTGCGGACAGGGTTGTGTTCTTTCACCATACTTATTCAACCTGTATGCTGAGCAAATAATACGAAAAGCTGGGTTCTATGAAGAAACACGTGGTGTCAGGATTGGAGGAAAACTTATTAACAATCTGCGATATGCAGATGATACAACCCTGCTTGCCGAAAATGAAGAGGACTTGAAACATTTACTGATGAAGATCAAAGAACACAGCCTTCGGTATGGGTTGCATCTCAATGTCAGAAAAACAAAAATCCTCACCACTGGACCAATAAACAACATTCTTATCAATGGAGAAAAGATTGAAGTTGTCAAGGACTTCATTCTTCTTGGATCAACTGTCAACACTCGCAGAAGCAGCGGTCAAGAGATCAGACGACGTATTGCATTGGACAAATCTGCTGCACAGGAACTTTTTAAAGTGTTGAAGAGTAGAGATGTCAGCTTGAGGACTAAGGTGCACCTGACCCAAGCCACTCCTTAGAAACCCCTTATTGGGTCAGCCCTCAACAAAACAAAAATGGGCTTGCGAATCTTCGCCTTGGCCTATATATTGGGACTGCATAGCCAAAAAAAACCTTGCTGTTAACTTGATTTTGATTCATAGTGATCACATGCCTGTGTTCTCCATGTTCATTGGGTGGGCACGAACCTCCAGTCTGTGTCTTTACTTCTTTGAAGGCCAAGAAGGAAAAATTATGAAAAACCAAACTACTCGAGTATTTGTGTTTGAAGATGGTAAGACAGAAAATACATAAAGCTTAATTATGTTTGGCGCCACAAGTGGCAGATTTATTTTGATAACCAAGGTGCATCAGAGTTAGGTAGACATTGTAGAAACAGTGCATTTGATTGCTGCTGTTGGTAAGCGCTGTCCAATCGGTTCTGACTCATAGCAACCCTGTACAGGGTTTCCGAGGCTGTAAATCGTTGAGGGAGCAGGAAGTCTCATCTTTCCAACGAGGAGTGACTGGTGGGCTTGAACCGTTGACCTTACGGTTTGCAGTCCTGTGCTTTACCTACAAAGCCACTGTGCTCCCATCTGTGAGTGTAGCTTCATTGAATTTGAATACTACCAGGACAGAATGTATTTTTATGACATATAACTCACCGGCTGCTCTTTGGAAATCCTGTTCAGGGTTGCTATGAGTTGAAACCAACGTGAAGTCCTGTAACAACAACAGCTTTTATTCTTATTTGGACCCAGACAAATGGTTTTGGAACCAGATGCTTGAGTTTTGAATTCTGACTGTGCCACTTAGAGGATGGTCTTGGCTTCCCCTTTGTGCTCAGGGTTTCCTGCCTTTATTATGGCTAGTGCTGGTGTCTGTGGGTTAAGTGCTGTGTGTGTAACTGTTTGTCTCAATGTTGACTTTGAATTATAATTTTTATCTAATTATCTTTTCACAGGGACCTCCGAAACAATCTGATTAGTAGCATAGATCCAGGTGCCTTCTGGGGGCTGTCATCGCTAAAAAGATTGTAAGTGTTTGAATTGCTTGTCTAAGTAGCTATTAACCTACTGCGAGCTTTGTTTTAACAGGAGAAAACAAAATGGGTGTTGAATTTTTACAAGTTCACCTGAGCAGGTCCATGATACAAAAACAGAGAGTGCTTTTAATATAATCGCTTGTTGTTGTCAGATATTATCAAGTCAGCTGCAACTCACAGTGACCCTGTATACAACAGAATGGAACGGGCACAATTGTTATTATGTTTGAGCCCATTGCTGCAGCCACTGTATTAATCCATCTCTTTCAGCATCTGACTCTCTTCACTGACCCTTTAGTTTACCAAGCGTGATACTTTTCTCCATGTCCCTCCTGATAACATGTCCGAAGCACATGAACCCAAGTCTCGCCATTCTCCCATCTGAGAAGCATTCTGGCTGGACTTCCTCAAAGATAGATTTGTTTTTTCTTATGGAAGATCATGGTATAGTCAATATTTTTTGCAAACACCGTGATTCAAAGGCATCACATTTTCTTGAGTCTTCCTTATTCATTGTCCATTCCACCTTGATAAAGGGAATACAACAGTATAGTGAGTCACAACACTTTTTGTTGGATTTTCCGCTGCAGACAGAAGCACGTTGACACTATACTATATAATCTGTGTAAGTGTGCAGTGGCATTATGAGGAAATGTGAAATATGGTGAGAATACTGAAATGAGAATGCAGAGTGGCTTGTGAGTCAGAATTGACTGCAATGGTACTGAGTTTGAGGGGGTTTGTTTCCTTTGGCTTTAGGCTTAACCTTTTATTCTTACTGTTCATCTGTTGAGTTTTTAAAATCCGTCAAGTTGCGTGGTTATTTTTTTATGTCTTATTTGTTTCCCACAATATTTATGTAATAAACTGGCTGTATTTGTGCTAGGAATTAAATATTGCTACCAGACTTTATCTTAGTATTTCACACAGCCTGTGTTTATTATTTCGCTGTCATTCTAAGGTGTTTCTTTTTGATAGTCTGATCCAGCTGTAAGAGTCGGCAGTGCTATTTTTGCAGCATGTTCATGACTTTTAAGAGTGGTGTGTTGTTCGTTAGATGCTGTCGAGTTGGTTCTGACTCAAAGGGATGAAGTCCAAATGATCTTGTCTCTAAAACTTACCTTCTACAGTTCCTCTCCCACATCCCTCTCTGGGGCCGTCTTAAGATTCAGACTCTTGGAAGAAGAAGAGCTTTCTGTCTTCATCTCCTTGTAAACTTACTTGAAGCTTCCGTCAGGCTTTGTGTTAGGGCATTTTATCCGCACAGTTGGTTTGCTGGGAGGACTCGTCCACATGTGTGCTCTCTTGGTGAAGCTCAGGATTGTCTGGACGAGAACTCAACCACTAAGCACTTTTCTTCTTCCCCACTAATGCCAGGCTTCTTTTAGTTTTGTTTAAAATTGTGAGTATTTATGAAACAAATCAGGAAAGCTGATCAGGTTGGGGGTAGGTCAGAGGTACTAATGGAGATTAGAATAAATAGATTGAAAACCTGGTGCCCTTGAGTTGATTCTAGCTGATGGTAATCCTTGTGCAGAATTGAACTGCTCCCCAGGGTGTTCTGGCTCCAGTCTATATGAAGACGATCTCCAGAGCTTCTTCTCATGGTACCACTGGATGGATTGACACCACTGACATGTAGGTTAGTAGATGAGCTCAGATGGTTTGTGTTACCCAGGGCCCTGGAGTTATAGAGAAGGAAGACTGAAAGGGATAGGGTGGCAGGGGCGGTAACAGGCAGCAGAGATGCAAAGGCTCAAGATGGGCTTAGAATTCGGGAGCTAAGCGGTAAGGCAAGGAGCTCTGGTAGCATAGTGGTTACGAATCAGACTGTGAACCTAAAGTCAGCAGTTCGAATCCCCCACCTTACTGTCAGAAGTTTGAATCCACCAGTCGCTCCAAGGGAATGAGATGAGGCTTTCTGTTCCTGTAAAGATTTACAGCCTCAGAAACCCTGTACAGGGTCGCTATGGGTCGGAACCGACTCGACGGCACTTAACAACAACAACATCAAGCAGTAAGGCAGAGATTGGCATCTGTTACATTCAACAAAAAGACACTGAACCCATCCAGTGTGCTCAGCAATGGGCCAGGCTCTGGAGCAGTGAAGATGGATCAAGGACCTGATGTAGTCCAGTAGAATCAGACACACTGACAGACAAGCCTGCATGTAGACTAGGACTCTAGTTATGAAGGAGTGGAGTGGTGGCTAGCGTTTAGTTGCCAGGAGGCTTTGGACTTGGTTGTGCATACCTAGTTAAGGGTGTTGAGCCAATCAGAAGTGGGCTGTGCCTCCAGAAACAAACCCGGGCATCTGGGAGTGTGTTATTGTACTTGCTGTTGTAGGGAATGTGTTGTTGTTGTGTGCCATCGAGTTAGTTCCGACTCATAGCCACCCTACATATTGTTTCCTAGAGTGGCTGGTGCATTTGAATGACTGACCTTGTGGTTAGCAGTCCAGGGCTTATCCTACAGCACCACACCAGGAGTCCAAAGGAAGGTTAAGATGGCATTACTGTCAGATAAGACCACTTCTTATTTTCTCCCTCTGTGACGCCCACCTCTGTATTAACAGCTTGGGGGGTCATGGAAAGATTCATGGTGATAGTGTCTTAATGCTGAAGTAGAGGTTGAAGGAAGCTTGAATATTAATTAAGTTTCACCAGGTTGTTTTAAAGAAATTGCAGAATATGTTAGGCTTTCTAAATTGCCTTCTTTGTTGTTGTTGTTGTTAAGTGCTGTCGAGTCAGTTCCGACTCATAGTGACCCTATGTAGGGTTTCTGAGGAGCGACTAGTGGGATTGAACTGCAGACCTTACGGCTCAAACTGACCTTGTACTGACCTTGCGGTTTCACGCCTTATCCTGCAGAGCCACACCATACTTCCATAATTTCTCCGGTACCCTGCTGTCACCTGCAGTTCAAAGCCAGTAACACTTCAATGACTGATCTTCCACCAGGCATCATCTGCACTCTACATGAAGTAGCCTCGGCAGACACTTGTCATTTATAATGTTCTTCCTGTTAAAAGATCTGTTCTTCTTTGCAAACAGCTGACTCAGCATTGCACTTTTGGTATACAATCAGCAGCAGACAGAGTCCTGCATGGAAACTCAGTATGTTATAAAGATACTGTGCTGGTGAGATATTTGCTGTCGTTGCTTGTAGACAAAGGCACTTGTTTCTTAATGGGACCTTAAATCATTCATTTCAAGTGTGAGTTCAGTTGACAAGACAGGCAGGCAGATCTGTAAGCATGCCATGTGGCTGCCATTTCTTTATTGGTTATTTGAACCAGGGACATGAAGTGACTTTGGAAAACTAAATGACCCAAAGCAGGTAAAACCTAGACTCACTCAGTTAACTCTTTTGCTTAATCAACAAGATCTTTAAAAGTAGAAGGTCATTTGATTTTTTTTTTGTTTGCTTTTCTCTTTCTTCTTCATTACAGTTAAAACTTGTGAATACGAGAGGGCTTCTGTGAGTGAGCTGTTGTTGTTGTTATGTGCCATGGAGTCGGTTCTGACCCATAGCGACCCTGTACAGGCTTTCTGAGGCTGTAAATCTTTACGGGAGCAGAAAGCCTCATCTTTCTCCCTAAGAACAGCTGATAGTTTCGAACTGCTGACCTTGTGGTTCGCAGCCCGATTTGTGAGAGTTACTGGGAAAATAGAATCAAAGGATAATGGAGATTTTCCATGAAGATTTGGAAGCTCCTTTTTATTAGGAATACTTGGGGGATGAAGTTGTTGCAGTCGGTTCTGACTCATAGCGCCCTTTATAGGGTTGCTGAGGCTGTACATCTTTGCGGAAGCAGAAAGCCTCATCTTTTCTCCCACCGGGTGACTGGTGCACTCAAACTGCCGAGTTTGTGGTTCACAATCCAGTGCTTAACCTGCAGAGCTACCTGGCTCTGGTATTAAGCTCGAAGGCAGTCAGTTTAAGATGTTCCTGAAGAAATATTAAGGCCCATCTTTTTGATAACTTCCTGCTGTATCTGTTAGTTACTGTGTGTTGACTGAGATTGGCTCTGGTGTTGAGTTGCACCCAGGATAATGAACTGCAAGGTCATGGAAGAAGTTGTATTTTGGACAATAAGATATATTGGGCCCTGGGGTTGTTTTGTTTTCTTTTGATACTCTAGTTTCATCTTGGATCGTTTCTTAGAAGAACGAGATAAATGCTTGGTACAGAGAGAGCACTATAAAGAAGCTTGAGTTTAGGCTTGTGTGCAGAGGTAAGTGAAAGCAAGATGACTCCATCTCCCAGGGAGCATTATCTTCTCCCTCCAGCTACAGGGCAAGGTCTCCCAGGTGCTGAAAAGAAATGGCTCACATGATACCTGGACACTGTTCCTGAACAGTGGATGTGTGCACGTCTTACCAAAGACACTAACTGGAGACTTTCTCCCCCTTCTCCCTAGGGACCTGACAAACAACCGGATAGGATGTCTGAATGCAGACATATTTAGAGGACTCACCAATCTGGTTAGGCTGTAAGTATACGTGTCTTTCTATTCATAAATAGTGAAGCCTTTGAACTAGACCCCAGAGATTTTTGAGCACCTACAGCAGTTCAAACCCACCAGCTGCTCATCGGGAGAAAGATGAGGCTTTTTCTGTTCCTTTCAAGGTTTACTGCCTCAGCGGTTTGAGCTAGAATCAACTCGATGGCTGCGGGTCTGGGTCGTGGAAGGAGCCTTGTTGGTACAGTGGTTAAGTGCTCAGCTGCAAACCGAAAAGTCAGGTTTACAATCTACAATCTACAATGGGAGAAGGATGTGGCAGTCTGCGTCTATAAAGATACTAGCTTCAGAAACCATTGTTAAATTGGTTATTGCTAAGTGCCATCGAGTCAGTTCCAGCTTTTAGCGACCCTGTACAGGCTTTCTGAGGAGAAGCTGGTGGGTTTGAACTGCCAACCTTGTGGTTCACAGTCCAGTACTGATCCTATAGCACCACACCAGGAATCCATCATAGGAGACAGAAAACATGGGGGTGGGGTTGGGATGGGGTGAGGGGCAGTAATTTTACTCTGTTGTAAAGGTTGCTATGAGCCAGAACTGTTTATATGTATCTTATAATGAGATGTTTAATATTAAAGTAGCGATTTTAAGGGTTACAGATACAAAGGATGTTACATCATCAGAACCTGATAATACATTTACTTACGTGCGTACACACACGCATGATGTGGCCTACATAGCAGAGAACGTATCCATGTTGAGAGAGATGTTGGACTGCTTCAGGAATCTGGGAAAAACTTCTTGGAAACAGAAACATGAGTTACTGGTACACAAGTTTCCATAGCTTTGGATCGTTAGAAAATAAAAAGAAACTGAGCAAAAGCTTGCAGATGGAAGGGAGCACCAGACATGGGAAAGGGGGATGGAGTAAAGTGTCTATGTGATTCTTCCTTCTGGCCCTGGGATTTCAGGTTGAATTACTTAACTCTTAACTTTATTTGAAAACTTTTCTGTTTTTCCATCTGTTAAAGTAGGTTTTACCTCAGAATTATCATAAGGATTGATTAAAATCTAAGTGATGGTCATCTATTGGTGTTATAATTTGTAGGTAATAATGGGGAAACTTTGTATATGTCTTCCAATATATTTTATTTGATTTTGAAAGGAAAGACAATCCACATGGCAGCAATTAGAAACAACACTGATTGTCTGTAGTAGAGGTGTGCATAAATGTGTGTGGAAAACAGAGAGGTGCCAAACTGACTTTTTCTCAGGAAGCTGCTGAAAGGTTTTCTTTGGGGAAAGTGGCACAAAAGCCTGTTTCAGGCAAACACAGGCTGGCAGCAGTTTGCAGTGTGGAATGGAGGATTTAGGCTCAGAAGTCGTGGGTAAAGAGTTTTCTGTGTCTGGTTCTTTCTCTCTGTGTTGCTTTTGTTAAATACGGAGGAATTGGTTTTGAATCATAGTTTCCACGGGGTGGTGGTAGGTTTGAACCACTGACCTTGTGGTTAGCGGTACAGTGCCTATTCTAAAGTGCTACATCAGGAATCCTTTTTTGTGTGTGTAGTTTCTTGAATGTTCCTTGTGTTTTCTCTCAAGTTAACCTTTGGTGAAGGGTGAAATGGCCCGATGCTACAAGAAGGGAGGAAACCTTTAATCTCTGGCCGTCTAGACAGGAAATTTGACAGAATGGTTTTCAGTGACCTATTCATTATCAGAAGAGGCAGATAGATACCTTTGTGTTTTTAATGACAAGTGATTTCCTGTGGAGATTTATGCATGTCTTGGGATGACTTGAATCCATTGTGCATCTTATTTGTTAGTCACAAGATTGCAGCCAGTTTTTCTCTATTTTAGGTGTTTTTTAAAAATGATATTTTTAGTGTTGAGAACTGCGGAAGAATTGGCAACATTAGGCTTTTGTGAAGCTTGTTGTAATGTTGGGTAGCTGTTGTGACTCAGTGTGGAGTCTGCTGTTTTGATTTTAGTTCAAGATTGATTTCGAGCTTTGGCTTGGGGCCCACCCCCAGTGCTCATGGGTAAGAGAGTGGGAGGAGACTAGTTCTAAGATTAGGTCAGGTTAGGTGAGAGTTGACCACAGTCTCTGACTGTCTACTTCCTATTTCTACAAGCTCAGCTAAAGGTTTTGGAAATTTTTGAGCTAAGGTCATTTCTTACGTTTTACCTATTTGACGCATGTTCTGAGACGTAGGGTCATAGACGTCATAGGACTTAGGCTGGTAAAATAGTTGCAGAAGATTCCACGGTATGGAACAGGTTGGGATTTCTCTGTTAATGGAGACTGCATTGATTTGCATTTTCCTCTGCTGGTTGGTACAGAGACCAGGCCCCATCCACCATAATGTGTAGCAATTTGTGTAGCATATTTGTGAAGTGAAGAGCAAATGAATAAAGAAAACGGAAGTGAGAGAGTAAGAAACAGTAACTAGCGGTCAGAGGAGCCAGACAGATCACCTTCTGCCTGCAGCGCTAATTGAGCTTAGGAAAACAGAAGTCCAGTTGATTATGAGCATTGACAAGTTGTATCATAGAGTGCTCTGAGTTTTCATTCACACAAAACTCTGCAAGGTGGGTTGTTGTTGTGTGCCATCAAGTTGATTCCAATCCATAGTCACACCCATACACCAGAGTCAAATTGCCCCATAGCATTGCCTAGGCAGGTCACCAGGTGGGTCTTCCCTCTCTTGAGCCACAGAGAGGAGTTGAGCAGTTAATCATTGTGCTCCCAGGGTACCTGTGCAAGGTTTGTTGTAGTTGAATGTTCTCTATTGATTCTGACCCAGAGCAACCCTATATAGGATTTCTGAGAGCAGCTGGTGGGTTTGAACTGCCAGCCTTGCAGTTAGCAATTCAGTACTTATGCTATCGCACCATACCAGGACTTAGTAGGTATGAAACCTTATTAGTATAGGGAAACTAGAGAGTTTAAGCCTTTTGTCCAAGAACAACATTGTCCTCTATTCCAAATCTTTTCCCTTTAACTTTATTTTAACAATTTATTAACTTTATTAAAAATAAGGCTAACTTGATTTTATTGTAAAACCCTGAACTCATTCCACTTTCCCATGCTTTCACTCAATTTTACCGTGTATTGCAGCTGCTGCCGCCCGTCACTCAGGTAATCTTTTTTCTGTTCTTGTTGATTTAAAAAGTTTTTGTTCTCTTCAGTTGAATGTCACTGGGTAACCGCAAGAAGAATACTCCAGTGAGAATGAGGCTGTGAATGTTAAATGGATGCTCAGTGAGGAGCCCTGGTGTGGTGCTGTGGGTTAATGCGGTGGGTTGCAAAGTTGGTTTGTACCACAAAGTCGGTGGTTCAAGCTCACCAGCTGCTCCACTCCTAGGAAACTCTAGACAGGGTTGCTATGCTTCAGAACTGACTCAGTGACACTTAACAACAGCAAGACCAAAGAGTCCTGGTTTGGCACTGTGGGATAAAGCACTGGACCACAAGTTCAGTTTGAACCACAAGATTGGCGGTTCAAAATCACCAGTCTCTCCTTGGGATCCCTATGACCCTATATAGGGTCTCTATGAGTCAGAACCAACTTCACGACACTTAACGACAACAACCAGAAGCTAACTTTTAGGTTTACCTGATATTTGATAGAAAAAATCCTCATCTTGTTAGAATCATATCTTACAAGTTTATCTACTGCTTTCTTTCTATAAGGTTAAGAGTACTTCTTGTCCCCAAACTTGGAGAAACTATTGACTAATTACTTCCTCTTAGTAAGATTTAAAGTAACTGTCATAAGTGCTTCATAACAGTGTTTAATGATTATAGGGCACTTTAGAAAATAGGAAGTAATATAAAATGTATAATTTTAAGTATTTTCTCAAGTCAAGTCATTTTCTTTTTGTTTTTCCAGAAATCTTTCAGGAAATTTGTTTTCTTCATTATCTCAAGGAACTTTTGATTATCTTGGCTCTCTGCGGTCTTTGTAAGTAAGAATTTTGTCTTGTTTTTGTATTCTGAAGTTTTATTATGTGGTTTAAGGAAACTTTATGAGGACCGTCTAGTAAATTTTAAAGAATTTAGAATCATCTTAGAGCACTTACTTCCACACTGAAAAATGTATAGTAAATCTTAAGAATGTGTATCAGGCTGGGATACCCATTTCCTCTTTGAAACACTGTATTATGTTAATCTAATTTGAAAGTAAATAAGTTGGTGATGTTTCTCTACTCTGTGTTATAACATTAGAGAGTAGTTTATTGCTTGACTAATTACATCCCAAAGTATAAAATATCTCCTCCCTATGAAGAATGCTTCTTAGTGATGAGAATAGTGAGGACTTGACTTGCTTTACTTTGGACTTGTCATCAGGAAGCATCAGTTGCTATAAAAGGACATTACAGTTGATTAAGTAGTGAAAGGTCAGCATAGAAGAGGATGGCTCTGATGAGATGGAGTGACCCAGGGGTGGCAGCAGTGGGCTGAAACGTGACAACAATTGGGAAGGTCGGTGCAGGACCGGGCAATGTTTCGTTCTGTGGTGCAGAGCATCGCTATGGGTTGGAATCAGCTCAGTGGCACATAACAGAAACAGCAGGCAAGAATGAGATGGGTTGACATCATAGTGAAAACCTTGAACTAGGCCAGCTTTCATTCTGTGATGTATAAGGTTGTCATGAGTTGAGGCTGACTCCAAGTTACTTAGCAGCATGGAGAATGAGATTTCATTTCAGTCTGTTACCACTGACCAAACGGAATTCACAACTTGTTACTGGTGTCTTTAGAGAAAGATTTAGAATGCCTACTTTATGAACTCAGTAGCAAGGCATGCTTACACAGGTCTTCATATTGTTTTAGAATTGATTTTCTTTTTCCCAACCTCCTCCAGATAGTTTTGTTAACTAAGATTACACGAGGGATGCTTTTGAAAATAACTATGTCCACATAAACCTTAATATATTTCAAATGAAAAGTTGCACTTATTTCTGTTGGAATTAGGATGAAAACAATAATGTTTTTCAACCACAACAATAGCAAAAAGGAGCCCTGGTGTGGTGCTGTAGGATAAGTTCTTGCCCACAGGGTTGGTTTGAACTGCAAGCTTGGCAATTCAAACTCACCAGCTGCTCCTCAGTAACCCTATACAGGCTCTCTCTGAGTTGCAGCAGACTGAACAAGACTTAGCAACCACAATGTTTTGGGAAATTTTTCTTTAGTATCATTTACAGGATGAGTGTCTCTTTCCAAGGGAGAATTTCATCTCTATCAGACGCCATTTCTATTTGGTGTCCAGATTTATTTTATTTTTTCATCCTTTTTATCATCTTCATTGGGCTGCAGCTAGTAAGTTAGACATCCATCTGCTGGCTCCCCATCATGGCAGACAAACGTTCGTACTTCTAGAGTTCCCATGGATCCTGTTGGTGCCAATACTGGATTTAGCCAGAGTGGAAACATCTCCTTGTGGCCTATCTAGTGGGCTCAAGTCAGCCATCCTCGTAGTTTAGGAAATTAAGGCTGTGACAGTAACGTGGCCCCTGAGACCACGTGTAGCAGGAATGAGGGATCTGTTTTCATCCAAAAGTTGGGAAAATGTGTCCGTGTTTTTGCCTGGCAAGAAATGATCACAAGAAGTTGCTGAGAGGTAGAAGTCATTCAGCTCATCCTTATGGGATTGTTTTTCATTTATTTATCTTTGCTGCGTTCTGTCTCCTCCCTGGCTTTATTTACTGATTTGGTCTAAACCTAAGCAATGGGCCTATTTGATTTCCTTTTAGAACATTTTGGAATGTTTTATTGTGATTTCAGTGAAAGTATAGAGAGTAAATCCAAAATCCTGTTACATTTCATGTAAGTTTCTGCTCCCTGTAACATCTCCTGTATTGGCAAGGTTAATAATGTCTTATGTGCAGTGCTATCAGATGGGAATAGTCTAATGATCAGCATGTGAATAGTCAGTGCTTATTAAACCTTGTTTTGAAGAGATTATTGTGTTTACATCCAATCTAAGGAGACCTGATTGTGCAGTGGTTAAGGCGTGGCTACTAACAGGATAGCAGTTCAAACATACCCATCTGCTCCATGGCAGAAAAAAATCCAGTCATCTGCTCCCATGTAGATTACAGCCTAGAAAACGCTATGGGACCATTCTGTTTTGTCCTATAGCATGGCATGTAGCAGCAACAATATTTTAATCTGTATATGTCCTTACTTTGTTTCTTACATGTAAGTGGTAAGTCATGAAAATTTTCACCTTATATACAGATTACGTTTCTATTTTCATATTAAGTGGCATGCATATCTAACTTTCTAGTTGGTTGGTTTGCTAATCCTTGTTAGTTGTTGGTGTGGGTTCTCTAGTTAGCCCCAGCTCATGGTGACCTTCTGTGCAACAGAACCAAATACTGCCCGGCCTCTGCCATCCTCACAATTCTTGCTTTGTTTGAGCGAGCCCATTACCCATCAGGTGAATAAATATTTGCGGTCCCCCTTGGAGCACAGTACAGAATTGCCAGGAATAGGTGTTACACTGCAGGAGCTTTCAGTGTAGCCAGACAGGCTGACTGTAACCCCCAAAACTACCATCGTTGTGTTAGGCTGCTACTTCAGTGCCAGCTTTAACAGGCGAGCTGTAGTCATTTAGATCAACGGGGCAATGAGGCTGGAAAAATTGGGGGAGGTGGTAAGGTGTACGTTAAGGCCTCCGTGATTCCTGATGCGTGGAGAGAAGTTACAAGACAAAAAGGACTGGGATTCAGCCCTCCAGAAGCCTTTGGGTATGGACCTTGTTGCAAAGAGCAGGGATGAGGAGTAGACTGGGTTTTCATATTCTCTTTGATCCATAGTAGAGACCCAGGATCATGGGGAAAAGACAGCGGGGAATCCCACACTCTGCAGGTCAGCTGGTTAGAAAGGAGGCGAGCATTACCACTTGATGCTTTATGCTACTTGACTGGTGAGCAGGTGAGAAGTAGTGTGCTTGCTTCTAAGAGTGTTATTATTATTTGTTGCCATTGATTGGTCCCCTCTGCACAACAGAATGAAACACACTGCCTGGTCTTGCGCCATACTCAGAATTTTAATATTTGAACTCATTGTTGAACCCACTGGGTCAGTCTGTCTCCTTGGGGCTCTGTCTCCTTTTCACTAACCCTCTACTTTGCTAGGTGTGTGTCCTCTTCCAGGGACTGGTTCCTGCTCACATGTCCAGGTGTATGAGATGAAGTCTCACCATCCTCACTTCTAAGGTTGGGGTTCCTCCCAGACATTTGTTTGTTCTTCTGGTGGTCAATAGTACTTTCAGTGTTCTTTGCCAACACCATAATTCAACTGCATCCATCCTTCTCTGGTCTTTGTTATTGCTTGTTCAACGTTCATCCGGCAATGAAAAGCACCCTGGATTGGGTCAGGCACATGTTAGTTAGCCTTCTGACTGACATCTTTGATCTTGAACACTTTAAAGAGGTTTTGCAGCATCTTTGTCTAATGTAATACGTCATTTGATTTCTTGACTGCTGCTTCTACGAGTGTTGACTATGAATCTAGGTGAAATGAAAATCTCTGTGAGCTTCAATCTAGTAAACTAATATGAAGCCAATGTGCTGTTTCATTGTATGCCCTATCAATGTCTCATTTTGTATGATACAGAGAATTTCAGACTGAGTATCTTTTGTGTGATTGTAACATTCTGTGGATGCATCGCTGGATGAAAGAGAGGAACATCACTGTCCGGGACACCAGGTGTGTTTATCCGAAGTCCTTGCACGCCCAGCCAGTCACAGGTGTGAAGCAGGAGCTGCTGACATGCGGTAAGGGAGAAATAATGCTGGAGACCTGCTATCAGGTTTTATCTTGGCAAAAATTCTCTTTGGACTTGGTTGGAACTGAAGCACGTCCATTAATCTTAATGGATCTGATTATATTTAATTGATGCCAACAATTAAGTAGTTAAGCCAGGTGGATTAAAAACTCTTATTTCTTTTGATTGATTTGGAGCAGAAGCTGGTTCTTGGGTACCAAACACTTTAGTTTTGTGACAACCAGGTTCAAAGATCAGCATGTCTCTTTAGATTTCCTTTCTATCCATTGACAAATCCGGGAGTTGAAATCTCAGTGCACAATCATAGTGTTTTGCTGGTGGGGGCATTAATTAATTAGTTAATTAATTAATTAATGAAGCGTGGTTTGGCTATATGTATCAGTATTCTCAGAGTCCTGGTGTGGCGCTATAGGATAATCACTGAACTGCAAGGTCAGTTTGAAATGCAAGGTCGGTGGTTCAAAGCCACGAGCTGCTCCTCGGAAACTCCTAGACAGGGTCGCTATGGGTTGGAATTGACTCGACAACACTAACAGCAACAACAATCAGTGTTCTTAAAAGGTTGATACAGTTTGCTCCAGTCATTCTTAGGAAATGATTGGATTTGTATGTAAATCTTCAGGCTTCATGTCTAAGCAGATGCTGACTTCTTGCAGATAGGAGATGGGTTTAAAACTTGTGTTGTATATGTATCCCATTTAAGGAAATAACATGCCACCATTGAAAACCGTGATTTTTAGAAGAACACCTGAAGACAAGGCAGAGCTAACATTTTATGGTGGTGCAGACGGTGTGCTCACCTGACAGAAAGTCCGCTTAGAGGAGCCTTGTGGGGAAGGCCTGGTGATTTGCTTCAGAAACATCAGCCACAGAGCACAGTTGTATTCTGACACTTGTAGTGCAACATGAGTTGGATCCCACTCTGTGATAACTTATATAAATGGTAAAGAAAAATACAAATTGCAACAAAATAATGGAGTGCTTAAATTGATAGTGGACGATTCCCTTTAGTCTTTTGTATTTGGTAGTAAACAATCCCATCTGTTTGTTTGTTTTTTTCTTTCCATTTCTTCTTCTTGTTTTAAAAGTCAAATATATTTATTAGATGAAAATTAAGATCTAGGAAAAGAAACAGAAAAACAGAAGAAGGAGAAAGGTCCTGTTAGTTAGCTAGCTGTAACTAATGTTTGGAAGTCCTGCGCTGTAGGATAAGCACTGGACTGCTGTCCACAAGGTGGGTGCTTCAAGCCCACCACACGTTCCTCGGAAACCCTATGTAGGGCCACTATGAGTGGGAACGGACTCAACAGCACTTAACAAGAACGACAACAATGTTTGGGCCTTAAAACTTGCAAGAGTATAAACTTCTTGTATGTGTGTGTGTTTGAAATAGATACATACCAATCATTATGTAGCGATGCCCATAATTTATTTAACAACTTCCTTATTACTGCATATTTAGGTTGTTAATCATTTCTCACTTCCTAAACAATGCAGTGATTCATTTCCTTGTATCCAGCTTTGCATACTACTTGGCTTTTACTTTGTTCCGGATACACGGCTGGTGCAGAATTGCTTGTTAACTCTATGGACTTGATCTCTGAAAGGTTTTTAATGAGCCCATGGTATATGTATACATTTTTGAACATATATTTAATACTTCTCCATTTTCTTTTCTGACTAGAAGAAAGTATTTCCACTTTGTTTTAAAAGACAGTGATGATAATAGCTAAGATCTGGAAACATTTCTTTGTTTCCTTAAATATTCTAAGCTTTTCCCAGTGAATATGCATGACTTTTATAATGAGACCCCAGTGTTTTAATCAAAGGTAATACTATCTCAGAAAGATGTATTTTAAAATTGTATATATCAGCATTTACTTATAACTGGTTCTATTCTCTGTATTGAAGTGTAATTAAAACGTAATCTCTTAACTGGCTTCTGTGGTCATCTGATAGTCTTATAATAATGTCATACAGAATAAATCTTAAGTGTCAGAACTAATCATGAAATGACTTAATTTTAATTATAGGCAGTTCCTCGGTTACAAACAAGTTTTGCTCCTAAGTCAGTCTTTTACTCAAATTTGTGTGTACATTGCAACAGTTAAGGATGGCTCCTATATAATGTCAGTTAGTCAAATATTTCACTTAGTGTATGTTGTTAAGTGTTGTTGAGTCAGTTCTGACTCACAGCAACCCTGTGTCGAGTTTACAAGGAGTGTCTGGTGGGTTTGAACCACCGACCTAGGATTACAGTCCCATGCTTCATCCAACAATGCCACACCAGGACTCCTGTCTTAGTATATAGTATGTAGCATATGTTGTTTTGAAGTGACATCGAGTCGGTTTTGACCCATAGTGACCCTGTATAGGCTTTCTGAGTAGCAGCTGGTGAGCTTGAACCACCGACCTTGCAGTTCAAACCGACTTGACAGTCTGGCGCATTAACCCACAGTGCCACACCAGGACTCCATGTTGTTGTTGTTGTTGTTGTTGT